GAAAAGGGGGGGGGGGGGGATCACTCTATCCACTTTCTCCAACCTATGCATAATTTTATAAACCTCTCTCATGTCTCCCCTCCAAGTCCCCCACCCTAAACTAAAAGTACCCAGGTTCTTAAGCCTCCCACCTTCATGCAAGTCCTTGAAAAATCCCAGAGATAAGTTATTCACATAGCCCTGTGGGACATACTGGCAGAGTTCAATTGTAAAGCGAAACCATGACTGGCCATCATAAGACAAATATTACACTTATGCACTCCCTCTTCCTCCTCTTCCCATGTGGTTGGGGTCAATTAGTTCTAGACTTAAAAAAAATAAAATTAAAAAGGTGTCCGTATGCACTGATTTCCACCAATTCCCCCCTGGTGCTGGCATTCAGTACCAGTGAGTAAAAAGGTAAAGGTAAAGGTTCCCTTGCTCGAAAGCCAGTCAAATCCGACTCTAGGGTTGCAGTGCTCATCTCCGTTTCAAAGCCGAAGAGCCAGCACTGTCCAAAGACATTTCCGTGGTCATGTGGCCGTCATGACTAAACACCAAGGCGCATGGAACGCTGTTACCTTCCCACTGAAGTGGTACCTATTTATCTTCTTGCAATTTCTTGCTTTCGAACTGCTAGGTTGGCAGGAGCTGGAACTAGAGACGGGAGCTCACTTCGTCATGCGGCAACTCGGGTCTCGAACTGCTGAACTACTGACCTTCCCTAGCCTGCAGTTCAGCGTCTTAACCACTTGAGCCACCGCAGCAGTGAGTACTATCACAAAAAAACCCTGCTTCCAGTTCTGCACAAGCTATGGTTTGCTATTACATGTAAATCATGAGCTTTTATTTGTGCTTCCCCAGCAAACTAGAATGTCAAACAAAGTTGTTCATAGCACATGAGCATCAGACTCATTCATATAGTGTCAGCTCCGGTTTGGAGTTACGTCTGAGCCGTGCCATTCTTGCTTTTACTTCAATCAATCTCTCAGTTTATTAGAAAAGATTTGTGATAGTGGAAAGTCACTACTTGTATGGGATACGAATGAAATACAGTCACAATACCACAGTACTTTTTAAAATAACTATACTGAAACATCAGTTTCAGTATAAAAACCATAATAATAATATTGTGCTTGGAGATTCCACAATATTACTAGAATCACAAACAGGAGGAGGTGTGTTGAACAGGAGAAAGGTGAGGGCTGTGACTCTAGCTACTGATGCTGGAAACTGTTTAGAATGACACAAATTGTGTAACTCACTAGAAGGGTTTATATACACCTTTGAAGGAATTTGCTGAATGAAACCGGTGAAAAAGTCTTACAATAGCAAAAAGAAAGAAAAGGCAATAAGGAAAAGTTTTTAAAGCTTTTAAACAATGGTTATGCTATAACACGCAAATAAACCACACACCTACTAGATTTACATGCATACCACCCTGAAATTAATACAGCATATTCCTCATCTCAGTCCAGAAATTCAGCTAGCTGCCTTTAGACAGGAGCGACCCTTGGGCCTGGGTGGGAGTGAGCAAAGGAGTAGGAGGCTGCTGGGCAGCTGCGTGTCTTGTCAGCTTTTAACTGAGGGTCCTGTGCTGCCATATGAAGCTCTACTCCACCTTTTCATTGCTGTCTGTTGGACTTTGGGGGATGGGGCCAAGAGGCTTCCCTCTGGTCTGTGTTGGTCCTTTAAAGAAAGATAGGCAAAGGTGGTTTGACCTCTATCCCTACTCTGATGTTTCCATGTCATCCTTTTCTCCTGGCTGGTCTCCACTCCAGGCACATAGACACATGTACTTACACATGTAAGCAGAACTGAATTGTGCAGTTCAACCCTGTCTGAAATAAGGACTTGCTAGAATATGGAGGGTTCATTAATGGCAGGAGGACTTGCTAGACCTTTGGTAAGCTTCATATTGCCTGATGTGGTCCAGACTTTCACTGCTATTTCCTTCAGAGCAGCAGAAGTCAGATCTGTGCCATGCTAGAGCATGTAAAGGAGATGTATCATATATATACAATGTATTCAGGGTTGCATAGCGTTATCCATGAGCCACACTTCTGTAACCTCATGGTTGGATTACAGAAACACACTCTATGTGAGGCTGTCCTTGAAGACAACTCAGAAACTGCAAGTGGTCTGGAAAGTGGCGGCCTGACTATTGTCATGTGCTAGCCACCAGGAACATATGTTGCTCATTTTAAAACAGCTTGTAAATAAAAATGGTTCCTTGCTTTGCTCTGTGAAATAAAATCTGGTTTAGGCTGCAAAAAACCTACAGAAACCTTCCCAGAGACAGTTAGAGAAAGATAGAACAGTGTGACTTTGCGAGATAAATTATTTGCAGCTGTGGGAAGGGAAGTGGCATGGTATAGCCTGATCTTGTCAGATCTTGGAAGTTAGCAGGGCTGGTATTTGAAGGGAGACCACCAAGGAAGACCCCCTCAGCTACTCGCCTTGAAAGCCCTTTGCTGGGGTTGCCATAAGTCAGCTACAACTTGATGGCACTTTATACATACACAATGTAGTATACACTGGATTGGATTTTATAAGCTTTCCCACTTGATCTCTTCTTCTAACAGAGCACCTGTACCACACTGCTATTTGTCCATGTAGGTCCCATAGTCCACAGCAAAGCCTTTTTGATGGTCAAAAGAGGCCCATCTCTTCCAGGAAGAAGAGCTGGTAGGAGCCAACTCAATACCTTTGCCTGTGCTAGAATTTACATATCACAAAATAATATAATATATATGTGAATATTTCTATGTGTCAAAGAAGTGAATCATTTATTTCCATGCGTGTTTCAGAAGATAGGGAAACATACTTTTTATTCATTCATCCCATAAAGTAACATGCATATTGATAGTGATATACATAAAGGCCTCTTGTTGGATAAGCCTGTGGCAGCAGTGGCTAGAGGTACGTTTCACTGCCTTTGGCCTTTCCTGGACAAAAAATCTTGCCACTGTGGTTCATGCTTTGGTAATATCTAGGTTAGATTACTGCAATGTGCTCTAATATTTTTATTTATTAGATTTTTTTAGTCACCACTCACCCAAAGGGTGTTGTGGTGACTCATGGTGACTTACAACATTAAAACCAATAAGGTAAAAAAACCCTAACAACATAAAACAAATAAAAAATATTAAATATTAATATTAAAATGTGTGGCTGTCACCATACCACTATTAAAACAGCCCAAATATGTGGCCACCCTCCAAAGGCCAACCTAAGTAATTCAGCTTTACATGCCCTGTGGAAGCTAAGCAAGTCCAACAGGGCATGGGTGCCATTGAAGAGTGCATTCCACAGGGTAGGAGCCACAACTGAGAAGGCCCTTCCCCTGCTGAAAGCTTACCAAGTCATCCTGGGGCCAGGCACCTGCAAGAGGCCACTAGACGATGACTAAAGGGAGCACAGGGGGTTGTAACGGGAGAAGCGGTTCCATAGGTATGAGAGTCCCAGACTGCTAAGGGATTTAAAGGTTAACACCAGCATCTTAAATTGGATCTGGAGACTAATTGATCTGCCCTTGAAGAGTGTCTAGAAACTACAGCTGCTGCAGAATATTGCAGCCAGAATGCTGGAGTGGGTTCTAAAGAGCATATAATCCAGTCTCATTCCACCTACAGTGGCTCCCAATCAGCTTCCCAGACCAATCCAGGGTATTGACCATTAAAGCCCTATGTGGCTTGGGACCAACTTCCTTTAAGCAACACCAGCTCCCATCTTCTGTCTGCGGTCATTTTCAGGGGTCCTTCTTCGGCTGCTCTTGTCATCTGCCTCTAGATGGGTGGCAACCTTAGAAAGCATTTTCTCAGTTGTGGCTCCACAATTAAAGAATTCCCCAGGAAGATTTGTTTGTCTCCCTCTTCTGCCAGTGGATGAAGATTAACCTCTTTCATATCACATTCCCTCACTGACTGTTCTTCCTGTTTATATGTTTTGTTTAATAGTTTGTGTTTTAAGCAGGATATAAATGCTAGGGATGCTAAAAATGTTAAAAACATTGAAGGATGCTAAAAATAACAAGAAAGGTTTCTATGCCTATGTTCAGACTGCCTCGGAAGGTGGTGGATGCTCCTTCGGTGGACATTTTCAAGTGGAGACTGGACGACCATCTTTCGGGTATGTTGTGGGGCTATCTTTCAGCTATGCTCCTGCAGTGTGCAGGGGGTTGCACTAGATTATTTGCAAGGTCCCTTCCAACTCTAACATACTATGATTCTATGATTCTAAATGAAAAAGTATATCACAAAGAATCAGGCCTGTTTTTATTCTCTTATATTATTTTAGCTGCTATTCTCAAACACAGCTGTACAACTTCTGTTCATCATTTCAGCATGCTTTTCCCAAGAGGCCAATCCAATTAGCAGAGGTTCTGCAGCAGGAGTATTGAGTGTCACTGCTTACACCTTGTTGTACTTCGATTTTTTTTTAAGTAAGTGAGTTTCTGGCAGCAATGAATTATGAAACACATTTAAAAATGAAATGTGTCCTCTAATTCTTTCAAATTAGTTGTGTACATATGAAATTGGTTAAAAAATCTATATTCAATATTGCACATTTGCAAAGGTACACATCAATATTGCACATTTACAACTTACCCTATGGGCCTTGAAACAATAATTTCAACTTGAGGTTCTGATTTGGATTCTAAAATAATGTTGTAAACTTCTTCATTTGTAGCTCCTGGAAGGGATTTTCCATTCCATTCTAAAACCTCATCACCTTGAATTTAAAAAGAAGACAAACTTTTTTTTTTTGCTTTTTGCCATTTCATACGTCCACATGGGTATGCATACACATACACACACAAATAGAAAATGTGTTCCTTGGCTAGGTATGTGGATGCACATTCAGAGGTAATAATGCCTGAGTTTCAAACCAAGATTTAGCACAGCTTATTTTCACTACAATTTTGCTGACATCATGAACACTAAAGGATATTCTCAGGTGGGTAGCCATGTTGGTTTGAAGCAGCAGAAAAAAGTTGGAGTCCAGTGGCACATTTAAGACCAACTAAGTTTTATTCAAGGTATAAGCTTCCGTGTGCATGCAACACTGCTTCAGGTACATTGAAATGGAAGTTGAAGTGCATGCACACTGCTTCAGGTACATTGAAATGGATGTTGAGGGTAGAGATCACTGTTCCCTCCAAGCTGAGTTAGTGTGAGCTAGCTCACAGTTTTTTAGCCTCTAGCTCACACATTTTTGTCTTAGCTCAGGAGGGATGGCTCCAGAGTAAACTAATATGTGCAGTAGCCAAATTGCTCGCTCACAATTTTAATGCCAGTAGCTCACAAAGTAGAATTTTTGCTCACAAGACTCTACAACTTGGAGTATTGGTAGAGATCCTCGCATCTGTCAAACAATTTTATTAAGCTGTTTGCTAATTTGCTGCTCACCCTCTACCTATATGTATGGACTGACAACTTTCATTCAATGTCTCTGAAGCAGTGTGCGTGCACACGAAAGCTTATACCTTGAATAAAACTTTGTTGATCTTAAAGGTGCCACTGGACTCAAATGTCTTTCTAAAGGATATTCTATGGAAGTAAAGGCCACAGCTTTCTATTGATCCACACTTCATTATTTTCCTGTAAGGAGTGCTGCAGTTCAAAGAGATTTCCCTATGTGCCCGATAGGGTTGCGAACCTCCAGAATTCCCCTGGAATTACAATTGATATCCCCTGGAGAAAATGGCAGCTTCAGAGGACAGACTCTATGGTATACCATAAATTCTAGGTGAAATCCCTCCCCAAATTCCCCCTCCATGCCTCCACATTTCCCGCAATTTCCCAGGCCAGAGTTGGCAACCCTAGTTCCAAAGTTTCTCTCTGCATGAAAGAAAATGGCCCCAATCCAGAACACTCAAATCAAAACTAGAGCATATACACAGATTTCTTCATCTGTTGTGGAGGGTCTCATGTATATCCATGCTATGTTCCTTATTCTCCTGGAATGTACAGAGACTCCTACTCATTTAGGTAGATCAGTGTATGTTCTGGGTATTAATTTTGTTCAAGTAAGCTATTTGTTACAGAACAATATTTAAATGATTTTTTTAACTTTATATATGAGAGAGCAGATGAAAAGAAGATATCTTATTGAACATTAATGTTGATACTTAAGCTAACGTAATTTTGCATTATTTTCACAGACCATCTATGCAGTGCAACCATCATATTAGCCTGAAATATTTATAGCAAATGAATGTTGTACATACTCTTAATATTACACACAGGGTAATAATAATAACAATTCAGAGTATCCCAAAACTTGGAAAAAAAATCATTTCAAGCCATGTAAGTTACCTGCTCTGAGATGTCCTACCACATCAGCCAAGCTACCTTTCTTTACTTTGGTAATGAAGGCACCAAGTCGTCCCAAATCGGTCATTTTTCCTCCTACAACCTGAGCAATAAATGTGTCAGTTCTCAGAACACACAAAAAACCTATTTGTTAAGAAATATAATCCGGAACATTTAGGTAACCACAAGCACAATGTACCATACCATGATATAAAACACAAACCTTGCCCAGGCCAAAGTAAAGAGTGTCAACCAAGATGAAATTTTATATTGCTTATAAGAAGACTAATCTAGGGAATGTTTCTGTAAACCAGCATGTGTATGTTGCAGTCGTTTCACAAATATCCTGGTTTGAACCCAAAGATGGCATTGTGCAGAGAGAAGGCACTTCCAGTTGCATACTGGAAAATTACAGATGTCCTCTCCTGGACATCTGGAGCCAGTTTTCAGAGGACATGGGGTCTACTGAAGGATGGGGGAAATCAGCAACATCCCATGTAAGAAATCAGTGCTTAAAAATACAGCTGATTCCTAAGGCCAAATACATCTGTACAGTAGTTATTTTTGATAGCTACTATGGCATGTTCTATTCTTATGACTGCCTAACCCAGTGTAAAGCAAACAATGCCACTGATGAATATTACAGTAATGCAGACACTCTACCTAGGCTCAGATAAGGTTAGCAAAATGTGGCTGTGGTTCTGGAAAGAAAAGAGGATGGAATCCTTGGCTATTGGCCTCTTGAGATCAAGATGGCAAGGTGAGCTGGGACACTTCTACAAAAGGAGTATACAAAGCTGACTCTAAGTGCCAAACTATACGATACATGACATGCCCAACGTGTCAGATTATGAATGCATGTCCAGATTTATAGTCAAATCTATATGGGGAGAAGTCCCCTTAAAAAGCACTGCACAAGGGAGGAAGAGCTTTTGATTATCCCCCCATCCTCCTTTCACTAACAGAAAGGGCAGCAGGTGGGGCTTTTTGTTCCTTTTCTCTC